GTGTGTGTACCCTGTGTGTGTTTATATGTTACACAGCGTGTGTACCCTGTGTGTGTTTATATGTTACACAGTGTGTGTACCCTGTGTGTGTTTATATGTTACACAGCGTGTGTACCCTGTGTGTGTACCCTGTATGTGTACCCTGTCTGTGTTTATATGTTACACAGCGTGTGTACCCTGTGTGTGTACCCTGTGTGTGTACCCTGTGTGTGTTCATATGTTACGCAGCGTGTGTACCCTGTGTGTGTTTATATATGTTACACAGCATGTGTACCCTGTATGTGTACCCTGTGTGTGTACCCTGTGTGTGTACCCTATGTGTGTACCCTGTGTGTGTACCCTGTGTGTGTACCCTGTGTGTGTTTATATGTTACATGTGTAGTATTGTCATTATTTGTCAATATTGCTTTTAATATATTTGGTATTTAGCTATACACGTTCGTATGTAATGGAAATCAGCCTTCCGTGTAATTTTGTACGTAACACATTGCGGCAAAACTTTTAGCGCGCGAACGGAAATAGCATGTGTAAATGCGAGTAAGGTACGGGGCGGATGTGATGTAATGTGTTGTAAACCTGTTTGTCCAGTACGTATTGTCTATGTATAGTATTCCTAGTGTTGAATGTTGGGTAGTTTACCTGGCGCACTGGTCACTTTGAACAGAGCGGCCACTAGAGCGAACACAGCTTCATACTTACACCTATATATATACGTACAGTACTTTACCTAGCCAGCATAGGAATTGAAAGAGGTAGCCGGCACTAGAGCTAAAAGCACTTAACGTAAGTACCCATGTATAAAATATTAGTGTAACTCATAATAGTATCTATTGAATAATATATTTAACTAACATAATATTTTTGTTAAAAAGTAAAGTTGATATTTTGAAAGTCTCTGTAAATTTAGAAATCGGGCATGGTCAATTTAGTAGACAAGTGATTTCGAAGAAGCAAGTTTTTAATATATATTGTTTCCTTTTCATAGTGTTTACTGAATGAGTCAGACTGAGGACTCGGCGGACTTTGTCAGGGGAAAACCCTCTTCACATTGAAGAGGTGGGTATTTTATATATTTGTAATTATGTTGTATAATTAGATAAAGTGTAAACTGTAATTTCTATATAATATATAGATTGAATGTCAGTTTGTAAAATACAAATTCAGCTATTGTAACTGGCTACGGCCAGGTAGTTGTTTGACATGTTTTAGCTTATGTGATTGTATGAATGTTATATGTATAGTAATATGATGTATTTCATGTTACATTTTTTTTTTACAAGTAATAAATTAATCATAAGAAAAGAACCCAGGAGTTGTCATATATCTAGGCAAAGACGACTATTACACATGTGTAAGGGTTGATTTATCCAATCAATGCAACATATTAATGTTCTGCGAGATCATCCACAATTCCACATAGTTTCCACATCCACCTGTAGACAATTTGGCCAACTACAGGCTCTGGTGATACGTTACCAAGTATGTATGTAGTGGAAGTCCCTCCTATGAAGGAGAACAGCTATTATTGAGGTGATAATAGGGACTGCCACACTACCTTAACCCCATCTTCTCTAGCCAAGGGTTATGATCCGAGTAGCAGAGTAGGTAGATCGAACCAAATCGTAACCCTTGTCTAGCAAAGATACTTTTAGGTCATTCCAATAGGGCTGCCACACCAAACTGAATATCAAATTCAATATTGCATTCCATTAGCAATAAAGAATCCCTGTCACAAAAAAATCCTCCTCCAATATTTCTCAAACATAATTGAGGTACATGCACACTAAATTTCAGAAAAAATATTCTTATTCAATAACTGATGAAAAAACTCACTTTTTATATGTTCATTTTCCAAGGTGAATAGTAGTCACAATTCAGGAAAAAATCCATTTTAACTTGCAAATATCATAAGGTTGGATGTCCATGGAGATGCATTTGTCGAGAAATATGTAAGAAAAAGCTTCAAATCTCAAGAATGATGATGACATGTATTTTGATTGGGTATTTTACAATAATTCATAAAGCAAAATCTCACTTGCTTTGCATACTTTTTTCCCACCTCAGTCAGCCTTGTTCGCTTTGTGCTCAGTTGTGATTTATTCAGGGGAAATATATGCCATTATTCTGGAGATTTAATTGACACATTTTCTTACATTTTTCTCGACAAATGCATCTTTATGGACATCCAACCTTTTGATATTTACAAGGGTTACGATTTAGTTATATGCTATATAATTTATGTTTTAAATGTCTCACGAATTTCTCACTAATTCAGAGAAAAAATCACACTATTTTTGACCAAATCTCACTAAAAATAATCACTGATCTCACTACTTTGCACCGGAAAGTTATGGCATGTATGAATATACACACATTTTATTTATGTTTTAATTTTGAGCATGCAGAATCTCCCCTATAGAAAAAGTGGGCAAGTGTGAAGAGAGCATCGGTTAATTTAGAGTTTGGAGGGTCTAAGGTTCAATTCTTGATATATATGGCCGTGCATTTTTTCAGCTCCTGGTACGCTAACAAGGGATACATTTTGACAGTAAAAAATTACAACCATTGTATTTCACCATATCAATGAAATTGTGCAATGATTACATCTTTAATTTCAATGATGAGTGGGAGATAATAACAACCAGTGATGGTTTTTTTCTTTACAACCAACTTTAATATGTCTAGTTATTTTAGACTTTATAACGAAATCTGCCTATGTAGCCAGATACATTGTATGGAGGTACTGCAGTATGTTGATGGCCGAGTGGGACACTGGAATTTGTCCAGTGCTCCTATAATATTTTCCTATGGAAAACTGCATTTCTTTTGACTCATAAATGGACTGGACAAGTTGACATACTTGTAAAATCATTGGTGTGGTCTGGTGAGTTGCTGACGGTTCCTTACATATCACTTGCTTGTTGGTGACTGACGAGCCATCGGTCGTGGAGGAAATGATGTTCACAACAGCTTTATGTACCACCGCGTAATTCAGGGAGTCCTTCTCGGGAGTAATCAAAGCAGAAAGATTGTTAGCTAATGCTGATGCACTGCTTTTTAATGCAAGGGGTTTCTCGCGACGAAACATTCTCGCTAAAAGTGAAACTCCAAACTTTCCCTGTTGCTCGGTACGCTAAATTCTTACACATGCGTGAAAGAGTTTCCGTTTCATAATTTCCGGTACAAAAGGAAAGTAGATATTGGCGGTTAGAGGATTTGCCTAATTGACACAAAAACGTACGAAAACATCTTAAAAGACTTCAAACACACCCAGAAAAAGATCATATACACCACGTGACCCTACCACCCTTAAGATTACTTAATATATATTGTACATTTGGTCAAATTGAAAAGGTATAAGCCAAAAAAAAAACCGGTATAAAACACGTTCTTCTTCTTTCTTTTTTCTTTTTGGCATATATTTCGGATCTTCTGGTTAAATAGTTTTACCATAGTATGCATACTTATCACATAATAACACATTTAACACAAGAAAATCATATCACTGGTATATTAAGGAAACATAAAACACAAATATTCTGTCTAGAGAATGACTTCTCGATATCTTTAAATAAATGAAGTAATCAAAATTCCGGTCCGGAATCTGTACCGCATTTATATGTTCCCGGCAGTAACCTTTGTAAATACTTCCGTATTTGAACTCAACGAGGAAGTAGAATTAGAAAACGGAAACCTAGTAATGCTATTCCAGAATGGAAGGCAAAGTGAAGTCCGGACAAGTTGTACTGAAATCTGGAGTGATGGTGAGAATATTATTTATATCAACGGTGTCAGTATTATAAAAATCACCAACTTGTTACTACAGAAGTTTGAACTTTCGGCTGTAAGATCGAGAAGTAGATCTATTTGATTGTTGAACTAGGCTATTTTTTTCGATTTGCAGACAGACTTTCAAACTACACGAGTAAAGAAACAAAATGAATGCAGAAAAATATGACTTAAGGGTTTTCAGAAATTGAATTTAAACCGAGCTATATTTCATTGTATGCATTTGTAGGAGTTTAGAGCTTGTCTATTGAGTTCAGAGGTCCCAGGATCAATTCCGGTATGGTCCTGCATTTTCCTGCTCATGACAGTCATGTAACATTTGGTGCCTGTGTCCAACCCTTGTTTCAAGTACTTGGTGTATGCTTACTAGTTAGCAAGGGGATATCACAACCTGGGTTTTTTAATAGTGTTGTCTTTTGGGACGAAGACTTAGAAATAGGAGGGAGAAATGTAGCTGAACTGGACCGGGTCGATCATCAGCGACCAGGTAGCTCAATTGGTAGAAATAGGAGAGATGAATGTAGCTGAACTAGACCGGGTCGATCATCAGCGACCAGGTAGCTCAATTGGTAGAATTAGGAGGGAGGAATGCAGCTGAACTGGACCGGGTCGATCATCAGGTAGCTCAATTGGTAGAGCATCAGTCTAGAGATGGGAGGGTCATGGGTTTGAACTCTGGTTTGGCTGTGCATTTTCTATTCCTGGTTCTACATCTCTATGTGTATATTAAACTTGACCATGATAAAGAACAGATGACAAATGGTATATGTGACTACTGGTCTAGAAACTTGACCATGATAATTAAAGTACAGATGACAAATGGTCTATGTGACTACTGATGCTTAAACTGGACCATGATAAAGTACAGATGACAAATGGTCTATGTGACTACTGGTATATATACTGGACCATGATAAAGTACAGGTGACAATGGTCTATGTGACTACTGGTCTATAAACTGGACTATGATAAAGTACAGGTGACAAATGGTCTATGTGACTACTGATGTATAATCTTGACTATGATAAAGTATGGGTGACAAACAGTCCTTGTGACTACTGATGTATAAACTGGACTATGATAAAGTACAGGTGACAAATGGTCTATGTGACTACTGGTGTATAAACTTGACTATGATAAAGTACAGGTGACAAATGGTCTATGTGACTACTGATGTATAAACTTGACCATGATAAAGTACAGGTGACAAATGGTCTTTGTGACTACTGATGTATAAACTTGACCATGATAAAGTATAGATGACAAATGGTCTATGTGACTACTGATCTATAAACATGACCATGATAAAGTACGGGTGACAAATGGTCTATGTGACTACTGGTTTATAAACTTGACCTTGATAAAGTACAGGTAATAAATGGTCTATGTGACTACTGATGTATAAACTTGACCATGATAAAGTACAGGTGACAAATGGTCTTTGTGACTACTGATGTATAAACTGGACTATGATAAAGTATGGGTGACAAATGGTCTACGTGACTACTGGTGTATAAACTTGACCATGATAAAGTACAGATGACAAATGGTCTATGTGACTACTGGTCTATAAACTTGACCATGATGAAGTACAGGTAACAAATGGTCTATGTGACTACTGATATATAAACTTGACCATGATAATGTACATGTGACAAATGGTCTATGTGACTACTGATGTATAAACTTTACTATGATAAAGTACGGGTGACAATGGTCTATGTGACTACTGATGTATAAACTGGACTATGATAAAGTATGGGTGACAAATGATCTATGTGACTACTGATGTATAAACTGGACTATGATAAAGTACAGGTGACAATGGTCTATATGACTACTGATGTATAAACTTGACTATGATAAAGTATGGGTGACAAACGGTCCTTGTGACTACTGGTCTATACACATGACCATGATAAAGTACAGGTGACAAATGGTCTATGTGACTACTGATAAAGTACAGGTGACAAATGGTCTATGTGACATAAACTTGACCATGATAAAGTACAGGTGACAAATGGTCTATGTGACCACTGATCTATAAACTTGACCATGATAAAGTACAGGTAACAAAGGGTCTATGTGACTACTGATGTATAATCTTGACTATGATAAAGTATGGGTGACAAAAGGTCCTTGTGACTTCTGGTGTATAAACTGGATCATGATAAAGTACAGGTGACAAATGGTCTATGTGACTACTGATATGTGTATATTAAACTTGACCATGATAAAGTACAGGTGACAATAGTCTATGTGACTACTGATGTCTAAACTGGATCATGATACAGTACAGGTGACAAATGGTCTATGGGACTACTGATGTATTAACTGGACCATGATAAATTACAGGTGACAAATGGTCTATATGCCTACTGATGTATAAACTGGACTATAATAAAGTACAGGTGACAAATGATCTATGTGACTACTGATGTCTAAACTGGATCATGATACAGTACAGGTGACAAATGGACTATGCGACTACTGATATATAAACTTAACCATTATAAAGTACAGGTAACAAAGGGTCGATGTGACTACTGATGTATAAACTTGACTATGATAAAGTACAGGTGACAATAGTCTATGTGACTACTGATGTCTAAACTGGATCATGATACAGTACAGGTGACAAATGGACTATGCGACTACTGATATATAAACTTGACCATTATAAAGTACAGGTAACAAATGGTCTTCATGACTACTGGTGTATAAACTTGACCATGATAAAGTATAGGTGGCAAATGGTCTATGTGACTACTAGTGTATAAACTTGATCATGATAAAATACAGGTAACAAATGGTCTATGTGACTACTGGTCTATAAACTTGACCATGGTAAAGTACAGGTGACAATGGTCTATTTGACTACTGGTCTATAAACTTGACCATGATAAAGTACAGGTGACAATGGTCTATGTGACTACTGGTCTATAAACTTGACCATTATAAAGTACAGGTGACAAATGGTCTATGTGACTACTGGTCTATAAACTTGACCATGATAAAGGACAGGTGACAAATGGTCTATGTGACTACTGGTCTAGAAACTTGACCATGATAAAGTACAGGTGACAATGGTCTATGTCACTACTGATGTATAAACTGGACCATGATACAGTACGGGTGACAAATGGTCTATGTGACTACTGATATATAAACGTGACCATGATAAAGTACAGGTAACAAATTGTCTGCATGACTACTGGTATATAAACTTGACCATGATAAAGTATAGGTGACAAATAGTATATATGACTACTGCTGAATAAACTGGACTATGATAAAGTACAGATGACAAATGGTCTATGTGACTACTGGTCTAGAAACTTGACCATGATAAAGTACAGGTGACAATGGGCTATGTGACTACTGGTCTATAAACTTGACCATGGTAAAGTACAGGTGACAATGGGCTATTTGACTACTGGTCTATAAACTTGACCATGATAAAGGACAGGTGACAAATGGTCTATGTGACTACTGGTCTAGAAACTTGACCATGATAAAGTACAGGTGACAATGGTCTTTGTGACTACTGGTCTATAAACTTGACCATTATAAAGTACAGGTAACAAATGGTCTTAGTGACTACTGGTGTATAAACTTGACCACGATAAAGTATAGGTGGGAAATGGTCTATGTGACTACTAGTGTATAAACTTGATCATGATAAAGGACAGGTAACAAATGGTCTATGTGACTACTGATATATAAACTTGACCATGATAATGTACATGTGACAAATGGTCTATGTGACTACTGATGTATAAACTTGACCATGATAAAGTACAGGTGACAATGGTCTATATGACTACTGATGTATAAACTGGACTATGATAAAGTACAGATGACAAATGGTCTATGTGACTACTGGTCTAGAAACTTGACCATGATAAAGTACAGGTGACAATGGTCTTTGTGACTACTGGTCTATAAACTTGACCATGATAAAGGACAGGTGACAAATGGTCTATGTGACTACTGATATATAAACGTGACCATGATAAAGTACAGGTAACAAATTGTCTGCATGACTACTGGTATATAAACTTGACCATGATAAAGTATAGGTGACAAATAGTATATATGACTACTGCTGAATAAACTGGACTATGATAAAGTACAGATGACAAATGGTCTATGTGACTACTGGTCTAGAAACTTGACCATGATAAAGTACAGGTGACAATGGTCTATATGACTACTGATGTATAAACTGGACTATGATAAAGTACAGATGACAAATGGTCTATGTGACTACTGGTCTAGAAACTTGACCATGATAAAGTACAGGTGACAATGGGCTATGTGACTACTGGTCTATAAACTTGACCATGGTAAA